GCAAAATCTCATTTTTTTTTTTTTTGCCCAGTCATCTATTCTGGCCCCCCCCCCCCGAAATGTCACTTTGCCCTAGAGTTTAGTATCCTAAATGTTAGTAGCCACCTAGCTATCATTCATGTTTCTTTTTTTTTTAAAGGAACATACTAAATAATATGCACTGATCCTAGTGCCAGTCCTTGTGTACTCCAGTATAATTGAAAATTAGCCAAAGGTATGAATTTCCTTATGCTTCATTTTGCTGAGCATTTTTATTTATATTCCTACTATTTTCTTTAGCTTGGATGCTCTTATTAGCTCATTCTTATGTCAGTACCGATGTAAACTAGGCTGCTTTTGCAGATGAACTGGTAAGAAGATGCCTGTAGATGCTTCAAAAAAGCTGGATTATCCGTGGAAGGGAGAGGGGTATACATTCCTGCTGCCCCTCCACTCTCAGCTTTAGCATGAACAAAATTTGGAGTAGTTGAGGGGCATTCAACAAGAGCTGTCTGCCTGTGTTGCATGCCTCCCAAGTACTCCTGATTTCTTCTACATTCTGGGATCAAGATGCCTCTAGTTTAAAAGCATTGTGACCTATTGACTTATTGCCCTCTATTAGGGGCCAGGTATACATAAGTCTGCCAAGGCAGCTAGACCTTAAAGAATGCATGTCTTGGCTAGAACCCTGGGAGCCATTCTAGCACCCTATTCTGTGGAGATGTGTTGGCTTTGTATGATCTACTGTTCATTATCACTCTAGCTAATAAATCTTGCATCACACAAATAGCATCCTTTTTTCACAAGCACCTATGAATGTGCCATATTAGAGCTGTGACCCGACAGCCCAGTGAAGATGTCATGAAAAGCTTCATTTATTCTCATTGATTCATTTCTAAGCATCCTCACTATAGTGTTTGCCTAAAAGGGCTCTGAACAATCTTTGTGTTTCCAGCTTGTAAGAAGCTTGTAATATCACAGAAATTAAAGACACATATAGAACTATCTCGGCAAGTTTGGCAGTGAGGAAAGCAGGTGCTGGTTTGCTTCCCACCATATGCTGATTTCTTTCCTTAGTTATTCCTGCTAAGATCTGTTGCATGCCCCTCCACACTAGTTTTACTCTTTCCCTCCTTTGGCGCTATGACTCATTGTTGTAATATATGCCATTCCTGTGCATCTTAAATGACTCGGCAGGTGGGCCTAGATCCACAGCCACCAGAGCTTCCTCACCCCAGTGTATTACACAGTTACTCCATCCACAGTGATGTTGGGTGAGGGTGAAAAGTATTCTGATAATTTATTTGAATCCCATACTCTTTCAATTCTGTTGTCAGGTCATAGTGCCAGGGAGTGCACACAGTAGTTCAGATACACTGTGAGGCCAGAAGGTGGCATTGGGGTCTCAAGTTGTGTCCCCGGTATCATTTTATTGACATGTCATGAGAGCATACACAGTCAGTGCTAAGGAGAAAGAATAAGACTACATTCAAACTAAGAAGCACACAGATTAAGCATGAAATAGCAGGATTCAGTTGTGGCATGATGCGGTCCAGACTCGCAGAGTAGAGAAGACAGCTGAACAGACAGAATAAGAGGCTGATAGACTGACCCTTGCACAGATGGTGATGTCTAAGGACAAATGTGGAATATGTCTCCACAACTCAAAAAAGAACTTGCCACTAAGCTATTGAGACATTGCAAAAATAAAAAACCAAATGCAACAAAGTCCTACACAAGGTAGTTTCTCACACCACTTCTTCCTGATATAAAAGCAACATGACAAATGCCAATTTATTACAAAACAAAAAATCAGAACAAGACATAAGTTTTTTTAAAAAGCCTCCAAACATTTGGCAAGGTTAAATGGCAATACAATGCAGTCTGCTTTCCTCCTCTGCCTCAAGGACAATTATTGCACACTTAAACCTGACGGTGACCCATTCCTTCCCAGCCTTTTCTCTTTGTTGAGATACCCCAAGAGAAATCCAATAAACTCTGGCTGCTGCATATTTCATTGTTGGACAGACCAGTCAGTTAGAATGTTTTCTTTTAACCACACTTCTATTATTTGGAGTATCGGAGTAGACCTTTGGTCTAGATGGGCGGGGTATACATCTAATAAAATAAAATAAATATTTTTAAACATTTTCCCTAACTTTTCTGGAAAGGATAAAATATCAGTCTTTTCCCCACAAATGGTCTTTTACATACTTGTGGACTCTTTTTTTTTTTTCATTATTTCCTTAGCATGCTATTTTTTTTTCCTGGGCCTCAAAGAAAAAACGATTTTGCTTTTCGTCTCCTTTCACCAAATAGATCACATCAGTTGCATGATCAGTTACGTTTTTTAAAAATCTTATTTCCTAGGAATCTGTTCAAAGGACTGCAAGCCCCAAGGCTGAAACATCTGTGCCGTGGTGGACCAATTATTTTTTAATGAATGTGACTTTTCTCAAGTTTCTCCTCTGGCTTGTCTTATTGGGACTATTTGTGGAACTGGAGTTTGGTTTGGTTTATTTTGTCCTGTCTATGTTTTATTGGATCTATGTAGGAACTCGTGGCCCTGGAGAAAGACAGACTGGAGAAAAAAGTGCTTATTCTGTATTTAACCCAGGCTGTGAAGCTATTGAAGGAACCCTGACTGCAGAACAGTTTGAAAGAGAACTGCTGTATCAGCCCTTGGTGTTGATGTAACCAATGCCTGTACCAGCTGCTGTATAACAATACTGTACACATCTTAACCATGGTTGTGGATAGACTTATATTTTTCACCTGAACACAATGAAAGACTGTCAACAGTGACATTTTTCGTCAGAGAAAAAGATGTTTCAGTGTTCTAATTCAATTCTAGCTGTGGATCCTGATTCTAATATAAGACCCAAGGTCAAAAACAGGAAGGGTTTGATATATAAAGACTGGTATAGGCATCTGTATTAAGCTTTTCTTATTGATGATGCTGGGGTGAAATAAAATTTACTATGCATTATGTTAACAGTTTCTATTTGCATGAATGGTCAATTGCAGATATTTATTTCGTTTAAATAACTTTTAAACCAAATCCTCCAAATATTGCATTGCTAGTCTGCCATGAGGACATTTAATATGAATACTGTAGACCAGTGGTCCCCAACCCTGGGCCTCCAGATGTTTTTGGACCACACCTCCCAGAAGCTTTCACCACCACCTCTGCTAGCCAGGATTTCTGGAAGTTGAAGACCTAGAACATCTGAAGGCCCAAGGTTGGGGACCACTGCTGTAGAGCATAACATGGGGAAAAGCACAAGAAGTGGCTATTTAACAATTAAGAATACAGAACAGAAAACCATGATAAGGTTGTGTTTTCTCTAACTAGTAAAATACTTCATTGGAGAAAATACCTATTTCAGATTCACACTAAAACAATTTGTGATACCTAGACAGCTGAAGCAGAGGTTCCTAACAATTAAAAAGTTTATAGCCATCTGTGCATTTATACACAAACACTTTGGAAACAGGAAAAGTAAATATTAACAAAATTGGGTTTGTTCTTGCTGCAAATGTGTAATCTGTTTCAACAACAGACAGCTTCTGAGCTATTAAATTGGCAGGGATTTTTTAGTAGCAGCACGAGGAAGTGGTAATAATGTATTGTAGGGTGGCTTTTACAAAAACAATTGACTTTCAAAGGCTAAATCCAATTATTAAAGAACTCCAGCTAGAATAGATGCATAAATCAGTAGTAAATTGTTAAATCAGCATTTATGTAAGTTGCACTGATATCATTATTAGTAGTATCATTTATTTCATCAATTTATATACAGCCCTATAAGTGCAAAGCACTATTCTGGGCAGTTAGCAGGCTAAATGTGGTTTACGCAGTGGGTCTACTCTGGTTGGATTAACAGTTGGATTCAGGCCAAAGTAATTAGTCTGTTTAATGCTACATGTTAAGCATAATAGCTATAATAATATTGCATGTTACAGTGAATATCTTTTTTTTTAAAACTGTCAGTGTCCCCTCACCCTCTAGTACCCATGGCTTTTCCGCCCTGCAGTTTACATCATACTGCAACCTTATCTAGCAGCATAAAAAATTGAACTATATTTTCTGGCCATGAGAATTCTGAAGTATTGAACATTAGCAGTTAGATGGTCTTATATTTCCTGACTCCAGTGTAAATTCCAGTTCCTTGTCACTTCTGTATCTCTGAAGCATAGTTTCTTTAAAATGACATGGGATTTTTTTTTCCTTTCGGTCCATTACATTGGTTTGGACAAAGTAAATGGTACACTGCTGGTGCACAGCCCTGATAGCTGAAACCTCAAATGACCTTTAAATATTGTTAGATTAGGTCACAGAAGAAAGTAACTACATGAGGCTGTCAATCAACCCCAGCCTGCTCCCCAGGAGTGATAATACCAATATAAATATGAGAAACAACTCAAATATAAATCAGGTAGACAAATATATATCTGGGATGCTTAATTAATACCTACATAGACTGCAATATGGAAGTAAAGCAAATAAGTGAGATAGCATAATAAGGAACAACAAATCTAACCAGCAAAAGATAGGGGAGCTGCCATGATGGTAGCCAGCCTCAGCAACTGGGATGGCACTGAGGGAGAGAGAACTGGGACAAAATGTAGCAAAATGAAGTTGATTTGCTGGACCAGTTTTTGCCCCACATGTCTTTTGTCTGCAAAAGCAAAACCTGTACTGTACATGGCATTTGACTGAAACTCAGAGACATGTTTTAGGTGGCAATGCTACAGAACAGGTAAATTGTAAGTCTAGTTCTATGTGGATTCTTTAACAAAATATGACTTTGTAGGACTAGAATGTTCATTTGTTGTGTACCAGGGATAATAAAGCAATTTTTTTTAAAAAAAAATGTAATCACTGATTCTGCCTAAATGGAATTCATTATTACCGTATTTTCCGCTCTGTTATAGAGTGGAAAATACAGTAATAATGAATTCCATTTAGGCATCTGACGATAAGACGCACCTAATAAAAAAAATAAAAATCAAAAAATAAAACTCCACCTCAGCCAGCTCATCATCCAGAAGTGCTCCCTGCCCCGGAAGGGGAGGAGAAGGGCAAGGTGATGGCAATGGCAGTTGTGGGAAGCCAAAGAAGATCGCTGGGTAGGTTGGGAGGGTAAAAAAAAAGACTTGCAGTGGGGGGGCATAAGGAGTGAAAACTACAGTACCAGTACTTGTTTTCTTTAAAATAAATTAGAATAAAAATAAATAAATCTCCGCCCCAGCCAGGAAGCACTCCCTGCCCGGAAAGGGGAGGAGAAGGGTGGTGTGGTGGCAGTGGGAAGCCAGTATTCGCTCCATAAGACGCACACCCTTTCCCCCCTCCAGTTTTTTTTGGGGGGGAAAGTGTGTCTTATGGAGCAAAAAATACGGTAAGAAGTATGTCAAAACTGATATAAGTAAGTGTACTAGAAAGATCTTATAAGCCTTATGGTAGCAAAATAATTATTAATTGAAAGGACACATATAGTATTCATCGCAAATATTTATATGGTAATATACGAGTTTTACAGCAAAATAAACAAGGACATATCCAAACATAAACAAATAGTTCATTTTTGTGACATTCTTTTAAAACTATGTACATGCAATATTAAAAATAAATATTTAATTTAAAAATGCATCAAAGCAGTAAGGATGGATAGAAAGAAGGCATTCATTTACTTGTACTTTTAGTGCATTTGCAGTAAAGTAAGCACTTAATATTGTACTACTAGTGAACAGAATTAACAGGACTTGTGTGCATAACTGTGGAGTGCAACTTTTACCTGCATACACTTTGAAGTCAAATCACAGTAAGTGAGTGGATTGCTGTTGCTTTGAGCTGCTCAGTCCATCTGTGAGCTCATATGAACAAAAGTAATAAAGCATGCTACAGATTCTCAAGCTAAAATAGCTTTTAGTTGGGTTAATAAACATTTCCCCTCTCTTCTATCTATAAGTGCTAATATCTTTTGATGCATAAAACAGTCTATTGATAATGAGAAGATGTTTTTTTATTTCCCCATGCTGCTCTCATCACCTCACAGTAGAAGATGAAGAGAAACTTGACTGTTTTTTCTGCAGCTTCTATTATCATCTCTAGAAATTAATTAAGCTGATTGGAAAAGAGGCATCCACTGTAGTGGTATTGAGCCACTTTACTGCGGACCCATCAAGCAAATGAAATCACGTAGCTGAAAGAAATAACCAGACACAGAAATACATTTCCTTAGCAAGGTCAGTCAACTATATGTGGACAGTTGAAATGCCTTACCAGTTCAGAGGTTTGATGGGCTCTGCCCTAGGCAAGAGTTTCCACACTGTAGTAGTACAAGAAATAAATAAATGAACATTCATTTATTTCATGAACAAAGGAGTTGTTTTAAGTTTTAGAAGCAACAAATGCAAAGTAGTCTTTATCCAAGAATTTTGATGAAAATGAATATGTTCATGTTATTTTAAAAAGGATGAATATTTTGAGATGAAATATTAACTGCCTAGTAAAACATTTATTGCACTTCACTAAAATGTCTGGTATCGTTTTCTACTGCACACAGAGTTTTTGGTGATCTGTGAATAGTTATGAACTCAGTAGGGCAGATCCATATATTTCACATATGAGTGGAAGAAGCATTCTTTGTGAAACCAGACACACCAAGGAAGCCATACAGTCTCACTGACACGCTCCTCTGACTTGTTATCTTTCTGCACTGCTTCTTTAAGCAGTTCATTCCTTGCCTAGTTCAGATATTAGCCTAGAATTGAGTTTATGGGTAGTGGATTAAAAAAGTAGAGCACTGGGAAGGAAGGGAGGGAAGAGGCTGTTCTGTTTTCCTCAGCCAAGCAGTTTACAAAGAAGGTGTCAGATAAACTCTAGAGTTTAAGATCCACCACTGGTGGCTCAATGCTATGCAGTCTTGCTTAGAAATAAATCACACTGGCCATTATCCTGTTGCAATTCCACTGTGTAGAAAGTTCCACAATAGTTTTCCACTTGGCAGAAGCTCAGTAGGATGCTATCAGTATTTAATGTGGCTTACTTCTCAACAGGGCTGCAGCTGTAAAATATTCTTGCCTTATCTAGAAATTGAAGTCAGATCCTAGTGAGCTTAGTTTACTGACTTGGATGCCACATGCCTGGTTCTTTATTATTGCAGAACTGGTCTGAATATGACATGTTTGGTGCCACATAAACATACACACTACACATTCCTGCTTCTGGTTGGTATAAGAAACACATTCCTATGGCTATATGGACATGGGCTGGTCATCACTGTTCTCTGAAATTTCTTCCTGCTCTATTTTCAAAACAATCTGTGACCTCATAAAATGAAAAAATAAGCATTCAGTGACAGCAGTAATGTCTTTCTATAAATAAGCATCTTTTGTTTCCCACAATGAGCACTATATATGCAAAATATAATGTGTGGAAAACATGCAACTGTAATATTTAAATTCAAACAATGGGCACTGGAGATATGCTATAAAATGCTCCGCCCACAATTTTATTGTTTCAGGCTGTAATTCTATCTCCAGTTACTTGGATTGTAAACCTTACTGAACTCGGTCTGGTCTGAATAGATATGTACCACACTGCACTGTAAATCTGAGGCAGTCACAAATTGCAGTGTCTGATGTTTAAGGCTTATGTCATAAATAGTACTTACTAATTGTACCCCTAAAGATAAAGAGAGAAGGTCCAGGTTTTACATTTGGTATTCCATCAAACCACCTACGCCCAGTTCAGATTCCCCCAAATCATACTGGAAAGTCTCCCAGTGGGTTTGTTAGTCCTAGTGTTTAAAGGGTTCTCCTATGTTCTAAATCAGACTAGACATGGACAATAGCTTCCTATGCTTGTGCACCTTGATAATGTATCAAACTGAATTTCATATCTGCTGCCAAATTCCCCTTTGACAGCAATTAAGTACCTAACCTATTTTCCATCCCTCTTCAGATAGTTCAGCTTCATGTTTTGACAGCAATTTGCAACATGTTCCTCAAATAAGCACCAAATTTCTCATTTATGAGATTTTGGGATATCAATTCCACTATATGTTACTGTACATTCTGTGGGAGACTGGCACCTTAACATGGATTAACAGATGAGGTTATATGGAATTTTTAATACATTTCCACTGAGTAGTCTATTTAATTGCTAGGATTCTTCAAGCTTATTGTCAACTAGAATTCAAGTTGACTGTCGTTAAACAATGAGCTAATCAGAGTGCTGAAAGTACATCTTCTGGATCAAGTCAATCATAATGTTTGCTTCCAGTATTAAGAGCTTTATCACTATGAGATGGGAAGAGGAGAGGGGAAAAAAAGCTATGCATAGGTAGTGTATTTTAACTATAACTAAGTCCAAGACTCCGGTGCATAAAGAATTGTGATGCCACATCATTAACGTCTATATATGTGTGTCTTGATAGATGTAAATTCAATAACAAGTATTATTTACTCCATGCTTCTACATCTGTGCCTTTGTATGCTTAGGGAGCAATGGATGACACATTGTGTGTGTGTTTTGTGCTATCAAGTCAGAACCAGCTTACAGGACTTTCAAGGTTAGTGAGATATTTAAGGAGTGGCTTACCAGTTCCGCTCCCTCAGTCAGTTTCCATGGTTAAGAGGGGATACGAACCCTCTTCTCCAGAGTCTTAGTCCTTTATTTACTACACCACACTGGGAATCGGATAACACATTAACCACTGTCAAATACTTATAACACCAAGTTGCTAAATGGTTTGGTTCACAGTAGCATATACATAGTTTTTGAAGCAGTAAAGTGCTATGTAACAAACACTTCTGAAGAAGCAGAGACTCTTTTAAAGTGTGTCTTTACAATAAAATTCTTAACAATAGCATAACATACATTTGTCATCTGAATAAGAGTCAGCTCTACGTAGATTAATTTTCTTCATACAATAAATTTCTCTTAACAAGTTTGAAAGCATGCACCAAAAGGCAACAAATGTTTCCAGCATTTGTACATTCCAGCCTGTGGGCACAGCTGCTGTAATTTAATTAACAGAAGAACAGTTTCAGGCCCTTCCAGATAATTTTTTTTAAAAGGATGTATTCTTAACTTTTTAGTAGTATTAGGTAGGATCCAGAAATAATACCGTAATATCTCTACACAACAGATAATGGGACTGGAAAATACTGCTATGCTGCATAGAGATGGTTTATCCAACAGATTTACCATATGTATTTAATGATGAATAGAGCCACTCCAAAACTGCAGAGAAGAAATATACAATATGCACCATTTTTATTTCATTTCCATTTTTAAAGATGGGGGGGGCATGTTACTGGATAAGGATATGGATCTGTCATTTACTAGATTGTCTTTATAACTCTTAAAACTCCCTCATATGTCATGCATGTTCTCCCATTTCATGGGGGCACATCTCTCAACAAAAGAAATGCAAGTTTTAAAGCTATTTTAAAACAATATACCAAAATAGGGAGAGGAGAAGAATCACTCATGATTACACATACACTGGTCATTATTTGCTTATGATAGCCCATCTGATATTTGAACTGCAAGGAGCATGCAATCTCTATTAAAAATATGCTTTCTCAGTGTGTGTGCTATAGCTTGAGTGGAAAGAACTTGCATTTTCTTAAAACCCACAAGCTAACTGAAGAACGTCTTGGAGCTCTGGAATAACTGAGTTAACTATTTGTTCAATAAAGCTACCACATGGAAAGGCCCTAAAATGCATTTACAGATTATAAATGCTCCTTGCTAACCATGAGAGAAGTTGACTTTACCTCTCCCAATGGAAGAGCTTTAAAAAAAAATAAAAATCTGTTAATCAGCTGTAATTTAATCACCTTTTCCACCCACACTAAAAAGTTATTAACCTCATACTGTTTGAATGCATCCATACAGTGTTTAGTCTCTGGATACCTGGAGGCCCTTGATATTAATTGTGAAAAGAGTCTTTAACCTTGCTTTGGAGATTTTCTACTTCAAAATGCACTGATTATATTAGCAGTCTGCTTTACTTTAAAAGACTGTCCAGCTGCCTGCAGCAATAAACAGCAGAAGCCTAGGTTATCCAAAGGCCTCTTACAATCATTCTAGGTGGGCATTCAGTTGTACTGTCTAGTTCAGGACAGATGGTCTGGCTCTTTTGCATTGAGCTCTGCAGAAACTTTAGCTGAATGTAGCTTGACAAGTGGCCGCATAGACGGTGCTCCCAACCGTACCTCCACTGCTTATGCTGTTGGCTGGATACTTCAACGACTTCATACTGCTGTCTCTCTGGACATAGAAGTGTTCTAGTCTCCAGCGTTCCCAGCTTTTCTGAAATTCCGTCCGAACCTTCCACAAGGAAACAAAAGGCGAAGCCGAGGAATAATCAAGATTTGAGTTCTTCTATTACAGTACTAATAAAAGGTACAATGTGTTATAATTAAGAAATGCTGCCAAAGGTCTAAGGTCACCATTTTTTATTGCTTCACAGTATTTCTACAATTATTTAATTACCTCTTCATAGGGTTCTTTGATTACTGAAAGAATGGCAGCAGTTTCTCCAATTTCTATTACTATGCAAGTATGACAAGAGAAGGAAACATAATACATTAACTGAACTTGCTATAAGCAATGCTGTGTTGCATCTTAAATTGGACTGAAACATACCGTATTTTTCGCACCATAAGATGCACTTTTCCCCCACAAAACAGGGGGATGGAAAGTCTGTGCGTCTTATGGAGCGAAGAAAACAGATTATATTTTCCTGTTTTCTTCTCCTAAAAAATTGGTGCGTCTTATGGAAAGGTGTGTCTTATGGAGCGAAAAATACGGTAATTTATCCATGCCTGAAGTTTTTTCTTCACACCTTGAAAAGCAACTTGGTTGTGACAATATTCCCACTGTGAGTGCAAGGAGTATATCTCTCTATATAAGTACACCTGAAGAGTATGGTTTTTAATATGTCATTTCAGTAGTTTTAAAGCAATAAACCTTCTGCCTTCCAGAAGTTTTAGACTCCACCCTCCCTCAAGTGTTGACCTGCAGCCATGCTGGCCAGGGCTTCTGGGAGTTGTCCAAAATATCTGGAAGAAAACAAGTTGGGGAAGTTAGTTTTGAAGGTTTCATTGCAAATGCAATCCTATGTGGATGCAGTTAGGATTAAGTTCACTGAAGCTGATGGAATTTGAATTTGAGTAAACTTGGGCCAGACAGGCTGCAAGGCATAATTTGGCTACTATTTCTATTAACAAGTTTAAAAAATTCTCTACGCCAATAAAAAATTACAGAAATTACATTAGGAAAATGGAAATTCTGATATACACAGAATCAAAGTATTAGTTTATCTTCCTCAGTATTGTCCATACTAGACATGATTCTAGTTTTACATGGATCTCAAGTTGAGATTCCAAGCACTGAACCCAAGAATTTCTCAGCTTCCATACACATCCCTATCTAATGTGGGTATCCTGAACAGTGCACAATAATGTGCAAAAGAACTATTTCAAGATGCTGTGTTTATGAATGACAGTTTAAAAATACGTGCAGCCTTGCTCTTACTCTTTTTCTTTGAAGAAACAGTATATAGAAGAGAACAACTATTATTTGAAATGGAATGGTAATGGTTTTTAACACTACAGTATATGAAACTTAGCTGTGCTAGTTATTGAGATATAAGATACAACACAAAAAATCTATTAAATCTGATAAGAATAAAAGGTCAAATGTATTTCTACACTGTCTGCATCAGAAGCTTTTAAAATTCAGCATACTGCATTTCAATTCATTATAGGTTTCAAAACAAGATTTATACTGTTCCTCCAGTACATGACCATACTTCACGAAAACACGATTACTTTTCCATCTGTGAAATAATAATTTACGCCACAGGTTCTTAATCTTTGGTCCACAGACACCTGGCCCCCCCCACAATGTCCTTACAGGGGGTCTGCAAAGGAAGGAAGGAAGGAAGGAAACGTAGAGCAGAATTTTAATTTCCCTTGCTTTTTTGTGTAAAACTTGGCTTTTCTAACGTACTGCCTCCATTAAAAACAAAGTAAAAACATGAAAAGCAGGAGAGGTGAGGACAGGTGGGGCTTGCTAAACCTATGGCCACAGGTTACTAGTCTGTAATCAATTCATGGTGTTACTTTGCCTCCCAAGGGGAAAAAGGCAGACAGAAAGGCTACAGGGAGGTTAGAAAAAGACAGGTCAGGATTTCTCATATTTCCTCTTCTTCTTTCTTCTTCTTTTTTCCTCTTCAAATTCAGTAGAAGCCTGCCATCATCCTGTTTCAGAGTAAGCCTAAATTACAGGTTTAATAAAGATTTTTAATTAATTTAAAGGTTTAATTTAGAAGGTTTAGAACAGAACTAACTCTTTAAAGAAAAAAATGTTTGTTTAGTTTTCAGTTTATGTTTTTGCAGCATGTGGAAGTAATTTAGTATCAAACTACACCTGTTTAGATTTCATAACTGTCTCTCTTTAGATATTGGCATGTATCCCCTGTTACACATTTTGGATTTCAATTATAAAAAAGATAATTGCAGCTATACAACATGTACACCACACTTTGATCCATCATGCTAACAGCAAAATTAAATGCAGGAGCACAAAAGCCACTTATCCCATCAACTAAAATTAGCTTTCTGCATGAAAACGGAGGACGCTTAACAAGGCTATGTTAATTCCAGCTTGTAAATGGTTTAATAGTCCAAACATATAAACCAACTAATTTACTCTAGTGCAACAGCTACACATTGTTGTTAAGAAGAAAAACTTATTGTAGGATTTCTTCAGGATCTGTGCTATTCACCAGCTACTGTGACAACATTCTGTTCTACTGCAAGTTCCAGTATTTAGAGGGATATGGAAGATAGAAAAGAACAGATTTCCCCCCTCTTCCAGTCAGATGCTTTCTTATGTTTAGTGTGATGGTTAGAGTATTGGATGGGGACCAGACATCTAGGTTCAAGCTTCTACTGAGGCATAACATTTGCTGGGTGATCCCAGGACCGTCACTCTCTTTAGTCTGGTATACCTCACAAGGTTGTTGCGATGGTAAAGAGGGAAGGAGGAGAATCTTCTACGCTACTTTTAGGTCACTGGTGGAAATAATAATAATGTGGATAATTATTATTAGATGCACATTCAGTATAGAATTTAAATTCTGTGCTCTGTTACATGTTATTGACCTTTTACTTTTAGCTTCAGAGTTTTCTCAAGTTAAGATACAATGACAAAGCAGGCTACAATTTATGACAATTTGTACTATGCTTCAAGTTCCCAAGACATGGTTTGTTAGAATAACATTTAATTAATCATTATTCTTTAATTTGAAATCTATGTCCAGGCACACATACAGCTGATCTGTGATCTTCTGTAAAATCACACACCCCAAAAGCAAAATGGCATGTAGAGAAGAGAAGTCACAGTCAGCTGGAAAAGATCATACCACCCAAGCCCCATCCTGGGAACACATTATGTAATCTCAGGGATATATAGCGGGACATGGAAGGAGCCTCCTGAAAGACTATGAGAACTACGAACATGTGTGGGCATCTCCTGGACAGTGACAGAAACTTTCAGCTGATTCTGCCACTGAACATCACTGGGTTGTTTCTGACACTAATGAAGGAGGAGGAGGGAGGTATGTAGTTAATAAAATAGTCAGATGGTCTTTCTTCATCCAGCAGTGTTACAGTCACCTATTCTTACATGTCCTCTTCCAAAAGAAGGAGTTTACTTCTCCCCTCATTGGTGTCCACAGTTCAACACAAGTAACAACACATATATGCTCCTGGTGTCATACATCAGGGAGAGATTGGATTCTGTTAGTATAATTGGAAACTATGCTCTGTCTACAGAACTCCAAATTAGTATCAACATTATTCCTGAACCTACTGCTGAAATCTACAGGGAAATGGGTTTGAGATGAATTTATCCTCAAAACCAAGGCTATCTCATGGTCAAATCCGGAGCACCTATTCCCTTTATGCCACAGTAATAATAATAAATACTTCTTATTTATTTCTAATAAATTAAAAACAACAACCTTAGAACTGCAGATCTGGAAGGGAATCTATGGAGTCCAGCTCTTGTTAAGGAAACACTGGGCAATCAAGCTTCCACTTGCCTATTTATGTTCAAGATGTGCAACTCAAAAAAATCTGCCATAACGTGTTGTGAAAAAGTCAACATAATAGCCAGATCAATTTAACTTAATAGCCAGATCAATTTAACTTTTTTAACTCTGCTGGGAGGGATCATCAGGGGGTGTGGAGCCCGGTGTCATCAGTACGCTGATGATACTCAGCTCTACATCTCCTTTCCACCTACCGCAGGAGATGCCGTTCTGTCCCTTCAGCGCTGCCTGGGGACCGTACTGCAATGGATGCAGGAGAACAGGCTGAGGCTGAACCCGGACAAGAC